GATTTTTTTGTTGTTGTTTTGTTTTTGTTTGTTTGTTTTAGACGGAGTTTTGCTCTCGTTGCCCAGGCCAGAGTCCAGTGGCATGATCTCAGCTCACTGCAACCGCTGCCTCTTGGGTTCAAGCGATTCTCTTGCCTCAGCCTCCGGAGTAGCTGGGATTACAGGTGTGTGCCACCACGCCCAGCTACTTTTTGTATTTTTTTTAGTAGAGATGGGGTTTCACCATGTTGGCCAGGCTGGTCTCAAACTGCTGACCTCAGGTGATCCACTTGACTCTGCTTCCCAGAGTGCTGGGATTACAGGCGTGAGCCAAGGCGCCCGGCCACATGTCTTCTTCTTGAATCCCTCCTGAAGGACCTGCCTGAGGCTGTTTCACAGTTAACTTTTCCTTCACTGAGTGGAAGGACTACACTAAAATAACAACAAAAAGTATACCATAGTGAATACATTAACCAGTAACATCATCATTCATTATTAAGTGTAATATTATATACGATACAAAATTGTATGTCTTACACTTTTATGGGACTGCCCATGCAGTAGGTTTGCTGACATCAGCATCACCATCAACAAGTATGTGTTGCACTGGACTACAGTGTAATGATGTTACCACTTCTCTAGGAGATCAGAATCTTTCTGCTGCATTAGAATCTTATAACACTGGCCGGGTGCGGTGGCTCACACCTGTAATCCCAGCACTTTGGGAGGCTGAGGTGGGTGGATCGCGAGGTCAGGAGTTCGAGACCAGCCTGGCCAACATAGTGAAACCCCATCTCTACTAAAAACACAAAAATTAGCTGGACGTGGTGGTGGCTGCCTGTAATCCCAGCTACTTGGGAGGTTGAGGCAGGAGAATCGCCTAAACCTAGGAAGTGGAGGTTGCAGTGAGCTGAGATTGCACCATTGCATTGCATACCAGCCCAGGCGACCGTGCAAGACTCCATCTCAGAAAAAAAAAAAAAAAAGAATATTATGAAACCACTGTCATATCTGCCGTCCATTATTGGCAGAAAGGTCCTTACGTGACACCTGTCTGTCTGCACACAGTTCAGTGCGGTGGCTCATGCCTGTAATCCCAGCAGTTTGGGAGGCTGAGGAGGGTGGATCACTTGAGGCTAGGAGTTTGAGACCAACCTGGCCAACATGGTGAAACGCCATCTCTACTAAAAATACAAAAATTAGCCGGACATGGTGGCAGGTGCCTGTAATCCCAG